AATAACTGCTACTAGGGTGTTTGAGATATTTGCCACAGCAGTTATCAGTGGCTGCCACAGTGAACTATGTGAGCTGGAGAGTTGCTAAACATGGAATACTGCAGCACCAAAAGGCACACCAACAAAGTCAGCAACTAGCTGGAGAACATAGCAGAGCATTCAGTGGCTAAAGGGCCAGGATACGTCTCTCGGGAGTTGGTAGGGACCAAAACAAGAGCTAAAAGAACAGCAAATACTGGACTAAGATTTGTCAGGTGGCTAGCTGAATGTGTAAATGAGCAACTGTTACCTTACAATTTCACCACATCAACTTAAAGCCGCTACAAGGAACTTTTAACTGGATATGCAAAAGTTTCTTGTTTCTGCTGATGTCTGTGCGTGACCTACAACAGCAAATGAGACCATCGGTGTGAAGATAAGCTATTTCTATATAGTGTATATTAATACCTTTAGGAACTGTCTCCGGGTCCGCCCCAGGTCGCTTCCAGGACAAAATGATTTATGGCACTCAGGCGGCACACGTCATCTTACCTAGCTGCTTACATTTATAGTGACTCTTATAAACAGTCGCTATTCCTCCTCCTCGACCCGACGTCCGCGGGAAGTTAAAATAGCAGCAATCATCGGGTAAAAGTTCTGTGAAAGCACTGGACTCACCAACAGTCAGCCACGTCTCAGTCACACAGAGAAAATCCAATCCTCAGGAAGTCAGGAAATCCTTCAGGATAAACGTTTTGTTTGCAAATGTTTGCAAAGATTGTTAGCAATCTAGCATTTACCAGCCCAATCCTGGCAGGAGCCGGCGGGTCCACAGCGTTAGCTGTCCGGGGAGCCACACACAGAGGCCGCAGGTTGCGCAGATTCACCCCGAGAACGAGGAGAGCAGGGGCCGCAGGGCTGGAACACCTCATCCGGGCCGACGACAGGTACCAGCCAGGCCTCGACAGGGTCCAGCGAGTGCTGAGAAATAAAGAGGCGAGGCACTGCTCCATATTCAGTCCAAGAAGCCGTGGAAGTGCTCGCCAAACAGGTCTTCAGCCTTACCAGCCGACGGCTGCGTTTACCCCGGCAGCGGTGGCGCTTACGCCGGAGAGGTGGAGCTGGGGCGCGGCAGAGGTGAGCTGGGATCCCCAATAGGAGCGGGGGCAAAGTTTTCCCATCTTGTTGTTTCATTCATCCCCAAAACAAACAAATGCAAGAGCCAGGTAAGCGTCTTTACGACAATACGGGCTAGAGCTCATGGGAAATGTAGTCTTCGTTCCAGCAAAACACTACCGCTTTTGACCACAGGGTCGCCAAAATCAACAATTAAAGTTCCTTGTAGGGGCTTTAAGATCATATTATGTTAATGTTGTGTTCTCAACTTGTTTTTTCTGCCCCAAGGTGCAGGTTTAAGCTACTTAGAGATGCAGTAAAAATCACGTGATAATCAATGTAAAAGAAAGAAGGATGACTGTCTCGGCACTATGGAGAAAGACACAAAGAGAAACTGGGTTTAAATTCATTGTTTGCATGTAAGGGACACAAACAGTTTTTTCTTTCACACCATCCTGTGATGACATGCATTAAAAAGAGAAATAATGTATGGTTACAGTAAGCCTCTCTGTCTTATTGCACCTGCAAGTGACATTTAGTCCACAAAGGATAAGACAAAAATTGATTTGAAGAGGCGGCACAGAATTATTGGAAAATCACTTACAGGTAATCAGTATTAGAGTCAGGGTAATCAATGGGCCACTAGAAGAGATGGAGAGCTCCGTGTGTATCCAGGTTTATGTGTGTCACTAATTAAACGTGCATAATCAGAGTTTACTAATTAGAGCAGGAATATCATCAGAAGCAGTCAAACAGTTGTAGCTCAAAAAGAACTTGTTTTATATTTTTCTATCGAACAGCAGGCTCAGCTGTAAGTGCTGACATAAAATATGAGTCTGGACTGTTCAAATTACAGTCAAGTGCACACTCATGATGTCTGCACACTCATACAGCATCCATCATTTTGCAAACCTTCTCCTTTTTGTCTAGTGTCCTTGACTTAAGGATCAGGGATTCTTTAAATCATTGGGATATTATTCAATGTATGACATATTAAAACACACAATTTTTCTTGGACCACAGTGCATATAAGTAGTAACGCTACAATTAAAAGCTTTCCACAGCTTCAGATAGAGATATAGGAAGCCCAGATAAGGACATCGAGAAATGCACATGTGAGGCTCTCGTCCAGCAGAGCACTCCCAGTTGGTTTGTCTCATTAAATGGAAGGTTTAATTCAGCAGTTAAAGCGATTAGCTTTTGAACTGCTTTTTTATAAGCAACAAATAAAGAGAGAGAGAGAGAGAGAGAGGGAAAGACAGGGAGAAAGAAACAAGTGGTGAATGTTACATTACTACAGTTATTGTTACTGTTCTCTCTGGAAGGCCATTATTCCCAGCAAGCTTAGCTTTAATCCTTCCTTCCTTACGTCCTTCCTTTTGTCCTTCCTAATTTCCTTTTCTTTCTTTCTTTGAAGAAAGCAAGGAATGAGGAAAGGACCTAATTTCCTTCCTTTCATTTCCTTTCCTCCAACTCTCCTTTTACTTGCTGTAAATAACAAACGCTTTCTTATTTTTTTGAATCAAGATTAAAAAAGCAACAACCTGAGATCTGCTTTGTAAATGACACCGCTGCTTTATGGGGAAAGGACATATAAAGGTGGTGTTTTTTTGTAAGGTTCTGTCATGCCTTTAGATCTATGAAAATGTCATTATGACCGTATCAGAGAGAGACACTACATCATACCTTATGTCCCGCCTGTCACATCTCTTGTGTATCACATCTATCACTGATGTCTGACAAATCATATACAGCATCCCTCCTCTGTCTCTGTCTGGGTCTTTGTCCTTTCGGTAGTCTGCATCACCCATACAAAAGCACACTCTGTCCTTCCAGTCTCTGTCTGGATGTTTGGTAGTTATGTAGTTATGTTCATTCTGTGTCCATTTGAATTTTCGTCTGCGATTTTGTTACAAATAGGGTCTCTCAACCAAAAACCCACAAAACAAGACTGTGGCTGTCACTGCATGCATGCAACATTATTACACAATGCACACTCTTTACCTTCTGTTCCTTTTTTGTTCACCTTTCAAATGTAAATACACAACTCCCTCTCTTCTCTCTCCTTCTCTCTGTTTTCCTGCCCTAATTTAGTTGATGGCTTTTGGTGTGCCAGTGGCTGCTCCCCCGCTGTGACAGCACCTGTACAGAGCCTCTCTGCTGGGCTGTGTGACTGACTGCTCTGGGCAGGGAGTCAGCCATTTGTCTCATAAAAAGGCTTCCAGGAACTTGGAGTTTTGATGGCCTATCTAGCTGGAGGAGGAGTAGTGTGTGTGTGGGGGGGGAGCAGCATGTTATCGTACTTGCGTGTGCGGTTTTGCATGTGATCCTTCTCTTGAGGATAAGGGAGTGTGCCCTTGAATGCCCTTACTTAAAGGGAAAGTTCACCCCAAAATCAAAAATACATCCTTTCCCTCTTACTTATAGTGCTATTTGTCAGTCTAGATTGTTTTGATGCGAGTTGCCAAATGTGATGTCTCTCTTGATGCGAGTTGCCAAATGTGATGTCTCTCTTTAATATAATGAAACTAGATGGTACTTGGCTTGTGGTGCTCAAAGCACCATAATATTTGGAAAACTCAACAGCAATGTCTCTTTCCAGAAATTATGACCCATTTACTCAAGATAATTCACAGACATTGTTGTGTCCCACCAACTGTTTCACTGCACAGAACTAAGTGTCCATCTACTGCTAACTCACCTAGCACCACTGAGCTAGTTAATGGTAAGGCTCAGCCATGGAGGATGCTATCAATGTTTACAATACATACTGTCAGGAGTACAAGCCTCTTGTGCACAAGTAGATGCACATTTCCTTCTGCATGGTGATTCATTTGGTGGGTGTAGTTTGATAAAAAAGTAACAAGGTCTGTGGATTTTCATGAGCAACTGAGGCATGATTTCTTGAAAGAGACATTGCTGTTGAGTTTTTCCAATTGTATTTTTTTATTATTTTTTTTGGCGCTTTAAACACCAGAAGATGAGTGATATCTGGCTCCATTATTTTTGAGAGGTGGTAGACATCTCTATGGCCGATATCTCCAACACTCTGCAACTCAAACCATAACAATCCAGATTGGTAAACAGCACTACAGGCAGAGGAAGAGTATGCATTGTGAATTTGGGGGTAAACTGTCCCTTTAAAAAGATTAAGGAAATTCCCTAAATAGACGACATTTTGAAGTCCCAAGTTTGGAGTTAGTTGTTTTATCTGTGTGTTTTATTTTGGATGGGTACACACAAAGAGCTGATATTGGTAGGTCTTGGAAAACTGTCATTTGAACAAGCAAATGAAGAAATTTTCTCTTCATTTTCTCCCGTGGTCTCGTGTCTCTGCTAGCCTGTCTCTCTGTCTCTCACACACACTTACACACACAGAGTAGACTCATAATGATGGTGTATCTCTATGATCTATCTCCTCACTGCCTCCTTGGGAGAGTGAGAAACCACCTGTCTACTTGTCCTGGCACTACAGTAGTGTGAGGACAGCCTGGCATGACAGAGCCGGATGTTCTCACATGATTAAGTGGGCCAAATATGTATGAGTGCATGGAGCAGGTGGAGACATCAGAGCACAAGTGTCCTCTAAGTTAGGTCGATTTCCTCATCTGGCATCTTATTAAAGAAGATGAAAATAACATGGGGAGAGCAGTGTGTACAGTCTACTGCCTGTTGAATATTTGTACTATACTGTGTGTGAGCCAGCAGGTACAATGAAACATTAAGTCGTTATGTCTCTAACCAGTGACACCAAAATAAATTTGTGTATATCAAATGTAATCAATTCAGATGCTGTAGGTGGGACTAATAAGGACTGATGATCGCTCCGGACTTTCCATCGCTTTTTCAGAATTGCCTGCAGTGATCATGGAGTTGGTGATATTCTGTGTTTGTCTCTGTTCCAGAACGGCCAGTTGCAGCAAAGATTGGATAATGTCCAGAGAGACTTCATTGTCTTCAACAGAGAAAAGTAAGAAACCTCTATTATCTGCCCAATACGTTCTCTACAAACAATAACAAAATTGGCATTGTAAATGTAAATGTACATTATTTATATAGCCCTTTACAACAACCCACGGGTGAACCAAAGTGCTTTACAGAATATAACATAAAATTAAAACACATTGTAGTGTTTCAGGAAAGCATCACAACTGTCAGTGTTGTGAAACTAAAAAAATATCTTAGAAACATTACATTCTTTTAAAATGAAAGAATATACAATATAAAATAAATATGTTCAGTATGGTTAAAAATGTTCTGTAGTTTTTAGACTGTAAAAAAAAAAAGTTTTCCTTGCTGGCTGATGAAAGCATGTAGGATGGTGTAAAAGGACAGCAATGTGGCTATTTGTGGCAAGGGAACTGGCCCATATGTGGGTGTGTGATTAAGGCAAAAACAGCGACTGTTAGAAAGAGTTCCCCATGTTGAAAATGAGATGTTTCTGGAAGTAAATCCAAAACAGACTAAATTAAAGGCAAGTCAGAGAAGAACATGATGAGTGGTCTCCTTTGTGGTGCAGGGAATCAATTCCCCCCAAATATCCAGTTCCAAATAATTACCTCACTCCACAGGTGTGAACTATCATGCAATTATGGGCTGTATTTAAGCACTGTGTCATTTAATGATTGTTGATATGTCTTGAAAAGGGTCTTTTTGACTAAAACGTCAACTCTTTTTCAAATCAATGCAGAGGTGCTAAGTGTGTGCGCGAATTGACTTTTTTCTTTGGAAGTCGAGGAAAAACACCATTGATCTATATGAGTAAATGTTTACACAGCAAAACAAAAGGCAAACAAAAAAGATACCAACGCTTATGGCAGATTAGGATTTTGAGGAAAATATGAGGTGGGACCTCTTCATGTAAAAGGTCAAGATGGCTGTCCAGTTGTGTGCCGGCTTTGGCTGAAAGATTGGACTTGAGGATAGGAAGATAGTTGATAAAAGTCTATGAGAACAGATAGTCCAGGGGGTTATAAATTTAAAAGCATTAAGCATGATTGAGTTCAGAGAGCACAATTCAAACGGATGTCAGAAATTTAAACATGAAATGTGATTCACATGAGTGAGGAAGTGTATGGTGATTAACATTCCAAAACAAGGTCAAACCGGTTGTGAAACAACACGGAGGAAAGAAAGACAGACAGACAGACAACTTAAAGGGATACACTTCCAATTTTCAACCAGCTTTGTATATTAACAACGTGGGTAGTATGTGCAAATGAACAACCATCTTATCAGCACCTAGTCTCGCCACCAGACAATCAGAGATCTCTGCCTTCTGATAGTCTGGGGACACTCCTTTCTAAAGTGTGCTTAACACACCAGAGAAAACAGCCAGCAACAAAGCAACGGCTCTTGCATTTTTTAGACGGACAAGCCCTCCCGGAAATGTGCGCTCCTCCTTTTCTCGTCCAAGCTTGAAAATGGATGCCAAGAGATTTATCTCCATTTTATCAAACATGTCCCCATTGTGGAAATGAAGGACTTACAGCGACTTTGTTTAAAACTTTTAACGCAGTCTGACTATGTTTACGAGCACAAGAGTTCAGCGAGCCACCGAAGGACCGCCCTGTGGATTTACTATTGGTTCTGCAACGTGGGGAGTTTTTTTAAACTCTGAAATTTTATCCGCCCATCTAAACACAAAATCAGGGAGAAAGGCATCAGTCTTTAGTTAAGCAAAGCATCTAAAGACTGACTTGTGAGTCTGATCAGCACCCACTCTTGCTGCTCATTTCCGAGCTCAAAAAAAGAGCCAGATGATGCCTTTAGAAGTTTTCGCTGGCTCTAGGGCTGTAACTCGAACCACAGCCTGTATTTCTGCATTTTCATATGCTCACCACCAACAGTTTCATGAAAAGACCATCTTTCCAGCAATAAAATACTCCTTTAACTAGTAAGACAGAAAAGGCCTAAAATAAAAAGACAGTAAACGTATTAAAATCATTGACGTAGTATTTGTTTTGAGGAGGAATACATCAACTTCAGAGAGTAAAAAGTCTTTTTTAGGGCTACAAATCAGGCTTAGGTTACTTTGGCACTATAAGTATGGCTTAAAGATACAGATGCAAGCCAAACGGTACAGTAAATTGGCAAAATGTAGTGACAAATGGCTAACTTTGGCCATCACAAGTCTATGGGAAAGAAAAAATGCTAACATGCCAATGAAGTGCTCTAATGATGATGTTCTTTCCTCAACAGGTCAAAGAAAGCATCGGTGGACTCAGACTCCTCTGAGCTGTCCATAACTGAGAAGAACAAGGCAATAGAGGATGGACAGAACAACAATGTTGAACCGGCTGCCTACTTATCTGGATAGGTCTGATGACCAGAGATCCCTAGGTAGTCCCTTACCACTTGCACCTGCCCACAGCTTGTAGATCAGCAATTTACACCCTATTGTTCTATCAGTACAGGCACTCAGATCTGGTCTTCAATGTTCCTGCACCACTACGTCGTCTATACAAACACAACTGCGGTATGCACTTGTGCTTCACTGTTCACCCACATAAACCAAATCAAGAGCTCAAGAAGTGCAGGAGAGAAATGGACTCCCAGAGCAGCAGCCATGTCAGCCAGACCCAGGCTTTTCGCTTTCCTGTCACCAAGAAGAATGACTCTCAGCAGAGTGTCACTCATATCATGCTCCCTTACATCACTCTGGTGCTCTAAGGTCTGCTCAACCTTTACTCCGGGCAGTGTGCTGAAGTGAAACGGAAGTCACTCCCCTGCCAAAAAAGGAGACAATGCCACACCTGCTCAGCTGTTACAGGAAATAAAGTCTGACGTGATCAGCTATGGCTGGAAGCTGTACGCACTGCTGCTGTCTTGGGCGGAACACTCAGATTTTTAATCTCAGCGATGCATTTTCTGGTTAATTACAGTTATTTAAATGACAATGGTTCTCCAGTACTATATGGAAATAGACTTAACGAGGATTGGCATGAGGAGTTAGGTTGGCAGTAGTGAAATACAAAGACTTGGGTGGATGGCTTTGTCCCATGTGGTCTACAAGACTTGAGATTCGAGCATGAAACTAAGAGTACGACACATTAAAATGGAGAGGTTAATTAGGTAAAATGAGGCCTTTGTTTTTAAGACAGCAACCGCAGATTTTTCTAAGATAGGAAATGAAGAGATGAACTGTAGGCTTGAGCATGAATGGCTCACTTTATCATAGCAGCAGATACAGTACATGGTTATAGTGGTCATTATGCTTAGCTTTGCTAGTCAAGCTAACAAAGATAGTACGATTGCAACATTTGGTGAATATGCCCCAGCTCCATCAGCTGCAGATAGAGTCTTTAAGTTATTATTCAGTCAACACAGAAATCTGAAATACAGATGACAAACTCTGGTTTTAAGGTTAACCTTTAAGGTCCATTCTTGACCTTGGAGGTTTAAGTTAAGATGCTTCGTCAAGGCTACCAGGTGTTGTTGAAGCTTTGGGCACAATAAGTACGAGGACCTTCTAATGAAAGTTTTTTGTCAAACTGGTTTAACGTGCATTAAAGCACTGACATTTCAGACTAACCTTTGCCTCAATCTGCAACTGACCAGCTGGGTCTCCACATAAAGCTTTATAGCTATGAAAACGTAGACAAAGGTAGATGGTAGATGTTAAATGTTCTGCACTGAACCTGCTTTGCACATGCTTCTTCATCAACTGTAGCATTTATGCACAGAGAGACAAAAAATAATAACTTAAAGCTGTGAGTGACTATTTATTCCCTTAGGGATGGTTTTATAGACAAGGATTAAGCTGAGTCCTAGATAAGATTTATTTTTCATTCAGTTACTGTCTGCAATGAAATTTGTTTTTGTCAAGTAATTTTTTTATGTCCTTCCTCTTTTGTGTTGAGTACAACCAATTACACGTGCCACCGGATAAGTCTGTAAATCTGTATTTGCAATTAAATGCTCTCATAGAAGAATACATTCTGCAACAACATGCTTGTGCAGATGGTATTTAATAGTAATTCAGTACCAGCTGGATAACACAGGGGAGAAAAAAGTTATTAATATTGATTTGCACATACAACCCTAATTCCAAAAAGTTGGGATGCTATGTAAAATGTACATAGAAACAGAATTCAATGATTTGCAGGTCATTTTCGACAAACAGTAGGGGAAATATGTATTCTATTCAAGGCCTCAATTTTCTTTTACATTAAACAAAATTTCCAATGCAGCTATTGACATGAAATATAGATCAAATTGTTAACTTTTCAATCCACAAAAATTAAGTGCAATAAAGTTAAATGACAAAGGAAAAATGTATTAAACAGGCTAACTTAAATTTCAAGACGGGCTTCAAGACACTTCCTGTATGAAGAAATTAATCCCTCACAGTGTTTAGGTGGGATTGTGGCCCATTCTTCCACACAGAAAGTCTTTAAATCTTGAAGATTTTTGGGGAGGCACGTTAGATCTTGAGAAAGACATTTCACTTTTAGAACTTTAAAAATGATTGTCCTAGGTTTCTCAATGCTTACTAAGGGGCTGTCCACACCAGCGCGGGTATTTATAAAACCGTGACTCTTTGCTCACTGTTTGGCCTTTCATCCACACGTAACTGCAGTTTTGGGCCCCTGTAACCAGAGTTATTTGTAACCGGAGTCCAGGGTGAACTTTTTGGAAAAGTCCGGTGTCAGCAGTCATGTGTGGACAGGATAACCGCAGTTATTTTGTCTCGTCTCCATTGTATGATGTCACAGTGTACGACGTAAACAGAAAACAGCTGTGTTATTACCCGATCCAGTGTGTGCAAGAGATGGAGGATGGACCTAAACAAAATACTGCTGCTATTTAGCAGCATATCAGCACTTTGTGGCTGTATCATACAACTAACGCTACTCAACCACATCCAGCAACAGAGGTGCAAGAGTGTGCTATTACGGAGACTGCTACTGCTGCATAATAGTACGGTTGTTGTTGTTTTTCTGCTAATGACGTTTTACTGCCTTCTGATTGGCTACAATGGCCTTACAGTTAGGAGTTATATCGTCACCTACTTCTTTGGCATGTGTATTACATTGCTTTATAGTGGAATTTGCGGTGTCATGTGGACGGTGGTATTTTTATTACACCGCTCGTATGGACGCAGATTTTTTAAAAACTGGAGGCCAAAAAAGTTCAGTTTTAAAAATACCCGTGCTCGTGTGGACTAGGCCTAAGTGTTCTTAAAAGAACAGGGGGTGTAACATATTGGTAAACATGCCCCTACCTGTTTTTTTGTTGAAGGTGTTGCAGGCATCAAATTTAGAATTTAGAGTGTATAATTACAAAAAATAATAGAGTTAATCAGTTTGAACATTAAATATATTTCTTTGTATGTTATTCAGTTGAATAGACAGTGGGTCGAAAAGGATTCACAGATCTTTGCGTTCTATTTTATTCATGTTTTACACAGTGTTCCCACTTTTTTGGAATCGGGATTTTACAAAATTGTTCACAAGAAAACGATGTAAATAAACAATACCCAGGCCAGGAAATACCCCTTCTTCATACAATTTGATATTAAATGTAAGACTTGTAAGCTAAAATCACACCTGCCTCTGAAGTTTGCAGAGGGTTGCCTTATACACTAGATATGGCACAGAGCTGGTTCCCTTAAACTTTACATGTCGGTAGCAAAAAACCTGAGCTTTTTTCGCAATCACTAATTAAATGTGATTTCTACTAATGTCTCGTCATTCTATTGACCTTGATCTTATCTTTCTGCAATACAACTAAATCCTTTCAAGTCTACGATACTTGTGATAATACTTAAAACACATTTCACTCTATTCAATTCATTACTGTTGGCACTTTTCTATTGAAAATTGGTACAATGTTTTGACTTAAATTTGTGTTGTTGTCGTTGTTGTTGTCATTGATGTAATTTTACAGATCCAAATGTCCTGTATAAGTTGTAAGATATAGTGGGATAGTTAAACAGGTGGAGTGATCCCGGGTATACCTGGGGGAAATTATATTTGTGAATGATTATCTTACTTTGTTTATATATTATAGGACTACCAGATGGGTTGGGTTCAATGCAATAATCCTCTGATGTGGCAGATTCAACCTTTCCAAAAAGTAAACTTATAAAAAAGTAATTGACAAATAGTATTTGACCCAGGTAGTACCGTTTTTCAACAAAACTTGTCTACCTAAAAATATATATTTAGTCTCGGAGCAAAATTGTTCCTCACCTGTGAATTTCATTCCTCTTAAGGTTTAATTGTCCCTCAGTTGTCACTGTGTGTTTATTGTATTCAAATGTGATGGATTTGCAAACTATTAAGGTGTGCCTTAAATAATGACTTTCTTTTTCTGAACCAATCTGACAATGCCTTGTGCTTTATTTCACTTTATGTCTTTCTGAATTACCATACTTAATTGAATAAGGATTTTAAGTAAAATGAGACAAGGAATGGCATCAGTAATAAAAGCTTTTTCAAGGTCAAGAATGGTGAGAGGATGTAAAAAGGGGAAAAGGATGTTAATCATGATAAAAGGTCTTTATCCTAAATAAAATTATATGATCTGGAGCGTATGTGTAGGTTGCTCTCCACTATCCTAGATAATACTGCCACCCAATGTTTAATGATAAGTAGTGCAGCTAGTAACCTACAGAGAGGTGCAGGGACTCGGTATGACCATCCATGGTTAATATGTAAAGACTGCTGAGAACACAATGTGGGGTAGAGCACGCACATCCAAGATATTACAGGTGCAGGACCAACAAGCAAACTGTTTATTATATAAGATCAACGAAAACATTGATCTTATATAATAAACATTTGAGGAGCTACAAAAGTGTGCGGACTTCACCCCTTTTTTTTAATATGTAAAGACTTACACAAGGACAAGCAATGAAAACATTTTAAATATGACTCCTCATCCCCAGTTTCAGTGGCTGCTGTTTATAAATCACGTGAATTTGGTTTAATGTGGCAAAGTGTTCCAATGTGTCTCAGGGCATTCCTTGATAATGCACCCTCAGCAGCAGACATGCACCATATGCTCTTTCAATTCTCTGCCTCGCCCACACACACCCAGAGTTAACAGATTTGTGTCCACTACTTCTCTAGGTCATCTAGAAGGCACAGTCCCGTCTCTCCTCCACAGTGGGCTGAGCTGAGGCAGCACATTTCCACATTAATGGCTGATCTGAGGGGGATTTTCATTTGATAAACGCTTCCCCAATCTGCTTGGAATCGCCCCAGATGAAAGCAGCAAATCTCAGTACATCACATAAATGGTTAGAATATACTGTTATCTACTAACTGTATACACAGAAACACTCATTGAAAGGAAACATTTGGACAACGACTAATCTACATTACCCTCTCTGGAAATATTTTCTCATTACAGTCACACACTTTCTTACTTTGTAACCAGCAACGCCAACGAGCAACAACCACACACACATCACCCTTGTTTAAATTGAGGTTGCTGACTCATCTCTTGTTCCAGACCTAGTCTGCATTTTACGATCGTCATCTCTGCCATTTGACATGATTACTATGATGTCATGAGACATTTACTCAGCATTAAACAATGCATGTGGGACATTGCAGCAGTTTTACAGTTGGACCTCACAGTGAGGGGTGAGTGTGTGCAACCCCCGCCACTCGGGGAACACAATGGGACTGAGTGGATATTTTAGTCATCCTGTTAGTGTGACCACACAGCCAGAGAGTTATGGATGTGTTGTTTTGTTAAATTATTATCATTATGTGCGCCTTCCTTACCGGTATGCCACATTTACACAATCTGAATACACCACAGCCTCCGTGACAAATATGATAAGAGTGTGTGATGCAAAACCAGTCCTAATGATTATTCCTATAACAGCAATGGAAAAGTAAGAGGTGTAACTTACCTTTGTGAAATACTTGAGTTTTGATGTTCGCCCAAACTGCCATAAGTGTGAGGCACATACTCACCTTTGACTTAAGTTCACTGCAACTTCTTCAGCAGTTTTCTTCTTTTACAATTCCTCCCTGCAATATAGACCAAAAAAAACACTCAGATGTCCTTATATTTACCCATACTTTATCACCCCAAGAACTGAGCAGGCGATAATGTTGTTCACTATGGCTACAGTAAGCTGCAGCAACTTCACAATAACAGCCTTACTAAGCTAGTGATAAAAAGAAGAAGATATACTTTATCAATCCCAAAGGGGAAATTCAATATATTCACTCTACTGTCATATACACAGAGGCCCAAAATACACACACACATGCACAAACAGGACCTATAATTAATTAAATGGAGGGATGTCACGGCAAGGGGCTGCCCATGGACAGGCACTGTGGTGGTTGGGGATTTGGTGCTTTGCTCGGTGCGCAGGAGGCGCCTCTCCAGCCACCAATCCACGCTCCATATTTGGTCTGAACAGGGACTTGAACCGACAACCCTCCGGTTCCCAACCCAAGTCCCTATGGCAGGGGTGTCAAACTCATTTTTGTTCATGCGCCACATACAGTCCGATTCGATCGCAAATGGGCCGGACCAGTTAAACCACTGAATAACATCCTATAAATAACAAACACCTCAAAATTATTCCCTTTTTTCTGTTTAAAAAAGTACACTTTAAAAACACTCATCTATTTAAACCCCAGGTGACAAACAGCCTGTTATGTATTCAGAAGAATAAATGAAATTTCAATAATATATCTCAGTATCACGTTCACTCTGTTGACTACTCATTGTCATTACATGTGCATTTTTCTGTACATTTCCAGTCCTGTGTAGTAATCCTGACATCACCACATCAAACTAAAGTAAAAGGTCAAGGTGGAAAAGCCTATGAGGCAGCTAATTACTGTTCACCTTGCACCTGAAACCTGGCACCGCTTAGCCTCTTAGCCCAAGTGCATTGCCATTAGGTGTGCAAAGTCATCCAGTGGGCCAAATCAGACCCTTTGGCGGGCCAGTTCTGGCCCCCGGGCAATATGTTTGACACCCCTGCCCTATGGACTGAGCTACTACTTCTGCCCTTTATTGTTGAGCAGCAACAGGAAGTGTTATGTTTGCATTAACAAAATATATATTTATTATCTCCAATTACTGTACAGCTGTTTAGATTTACTGCAATCAATGATTATGTTTCATTTATTTTAAACAATGTCTAACACTATGAATATACTTGCAACAATACACATAAACAGTGAAATTAACTTGATTTAAATTATAGATTGTGAGAAAAAGCATGTTTAGAAAAACAAATCCAAAGAAAAATACAGTCAGGTCCATAATTATTTGGACAATGATACAGTTGTCGTCATTTTGGCTCTGTACACCACCACAATGGGTTTTAAATGAAACAATGAATACCTGCTTAAAGTGCAGACTCTCAGCTTTCATTTAAGGCTTTTTTCAAAAATGTAGTATGAACCGTGTAGGAAT